TGCCAGTCGACCGACTTCCTCGAAGGGCTCTTTTCGCCCAACCATGTGAAGGGTGGAAGAGAGCCAGAGGCGGTCAAACAATGACTTGGCAGCGAAGTATGAAGGCCATTACCAGCAAACTCAGCTGCGCTGGTCACTGCCGTCTTCCTGGATGGGGACCCCGAGACGGGCCACATCAATGGCTAGAGACATTATCAGACATGGCCCAGTCGCGCCCTCAGTGGCGCTCGTGCATCCAAGCTATTGCCTTCAATGCATAGCTTCTTTTCCACCCCCCCGCTTGACAACTCACTGACAGTACTGGATTTATGCACCAATTTACCAGCTCGCGCGTGCAATGCGCAGCTACTTACCCCCCAATCATCGGTGAACGAAACTGTGGCAGCTACAACCAGTGTACGACCAGTACGCGGTTATTACAGCTGATAATGATGATGATGATGATGATGAGTTTGACTCCCCTTGTAGCAAAGCTTATGGCTCCTCTGGTTGTTCATCCTCTTACGGCGGTGCCCGAATCCGCGATCCGTGAGCTTGGTGGGGGTTCCGTCGACCACATCTTCACATCCCTTCAGGTGTTGAAGTAACGCCGTACGTACAGACGGCCCACAATCTTGGTGTTCTTTTACTTTATTGGGTGTTTGATTCTGTCAGTTGGTCAGTGCTTTTGACTACAATTGTTGTACACGGTATGTCCCAGAGGTCTGTGAACATAATCTGGTCCCATATCCTCGGGACTGTGAGAATCTATGATGAACTCTCTAAAAGCTTCCCGACAGGAAATGGTGTCCGAGAAGGATTCCCCCTCTCCGTTCTTGTTCACTTTCATCTTCGATGAATGATGATGCGGGCGCTGGAATGTCTCAAAAACCCTGGCTTTCAAATACTTGCTGGTGAGAATCCTGTCAATCTGGATTACGCAGACGATATCTTTGAAGACAAGTGCGAGGCACTAGCTCTGTTGAATAAACTGACCACTATCACGCCATCCTCCGGCATGCGGCTTTTACCTTTAAATTGCAAAGTCATGCTTCAGAACTTGCAGTCCGAACATACCGTAGAACTTTAGGAGAATCACTGAAAGTCATGGGGCATTTCACATACCTCGGTAGTTGTATCAGCTCTGACGGAGGTGCGTCTGATTTATTCAATGCACGAAACTCCTCGACGCGAGTGGCGTCCACCAATCTGCCTAACTTTGGGCGTCAAAAAGGCATATCAGCTGGTTCAATCGGACGCGTGTACCAGGCTACAGTGAGGGCTGTTTTGTTGTATGGTTGCAAGACGCGACATCTGTGGGCAGATGATGCGAGGCGTCCTCATGTTTTTCACCTCAGTTGTCTTAGAGGCATTGTTGGTTTTGGATGGCGTCAACGGATTTGTAACGAGGTTTTTGGTTTTGCAGCAGGTAGTTCATTCGCAGATACCATCCAATATAATCAACGGCGGTGAGCGAGCCATGGGCTGCGCTTGCCGAAATATCGTCTACCGGTGCTAGTTTTCTCCGTGCTTTCTTCACAATGGCCCAAACCGCGAGATGGACAACGTACGACTTGGAAGAAGGATGTGGAAGAAATTATGAGTTTGGGTGATATGGGTGCGGTCCACCTTCCAGGAAGTGGCCCCCATGGCCCTGTTTGTACTTGGCTGGAGACATTGCAAGGAATGGCGGTCAGTCGATATCAGGAGCGTTCGTGCTGTCAGGTTCTTTCCAGATTGCCTGACTGAGCATTTGAAGACGTAGGCACCTCAAAATGCTTGCTGTGAGTCGGCGCCAGGTACTCTCCCTCATCCACTCTTTTCATTCCATTGCTTTAAGTCCAGATGGGTGAACACTGTGATTGTGCGGCATTGAGGTATCATTATCAGAACTGATGCTACTATGTGTAATGTTGTTGGTGAGGATGATGATGATGCATTCGTAACGCCTCCACCGAAACTCTCCGCCTAAGTAGACCAGTACAAAGTGTGACATTTATGTTCCACTTCCTTAGTACATGAGGAAGACGGAATAGGCCATTTTTAAAGCCCGAAGCTGGTGACCTGAAGTCCCGTGGTCCCAACTCGACGACGTCTTACTTTATTGGGTGTTTGATTCTGTCAGTTGGTCAGTGCTTTTGACTACAATTGTTGTACACGGTATGTCCCAGAGGTCTGTGAACATAATCTGGTCCCATATCCTCGGGACTGTGAGAATCTATGATGAACTCTCTAAAAGCTTCCCGACAGGAAATGGTGTCCGAGAAGGATTCCCCCTCTCCGTTCTTGTTCACTTTCATCTTCGATGAATGATGATGCGGGCGCTGGAATGTCTCAAAAACCCTGGCTTTCAAATACTTGCTGGTGAGAATCCTGTCAATCTGGATTACGCAGACGATATCTTTGAAGACAAGTGCGAGGCACTAGCTCTGTTGAATAAACTGACCACTATCACGCCATCCTCCGGCATGCGGCTTTTACCTTTAAATTGCAAAGTCATGCTTCAGAACTTGCAGTCCGAACATACCGTAGAACTTTAGGAGAATCACTGAAAGTCATGGGGCATTTCACATACCTCGGTAGTTGTATCAGCTCTGACGGAGGTGCGTCTGATTTATTCAATGCACGAAACTCCTCGACGCGAGTGGCGTCCACCAATCTGCCTAACTTTGGGCGTCAAAAAGGCATATCAGCTGGTTCAATCGGACGCGTGTACCAGGCTACAGTGAGGGCTGTTTTGTTGTATGGTTGCAAGACGCGACATCTGTGGGCAGATGATGCGAGGCGTCCTCATGTTTTTCACCTCAGTTGTCTTAGAGGCATTGTTGGTTTTGGATGGCGTCAACGGATTTGTAACGAGGTTTTTGGTTTTGCAGCAGGTAGTTCATTCGCAGATACCATCCAATATAATCAACGGCGGTGAGCGAGCCATGGGCTGCGCTTGCCGAAATATCGTCTACCGGTGCTAGTTTTCTCCGTGCTTTCTTCACAATGGCCCAAACCGCGAGATGGACAACGTACGACTTGGAAGAAGGATGTGGAAGAAATTATGAGTTTGGGTGATATGGGTGCGGTCCACCTTCCAGGAAGTGGCCCCCATGGCCCTGTTTGTACTTGGCTGGAGACATTGCAAGGAATGGCGGTCAGTCGATATCAGGAGCGTTCGTGCTGTCAGGTTCTTTCCAGATTGCCTGACTGAGCATTTGAAGACGTAGGCACCTCAAAATGCTTGCTGTGAGTCGGCGCCAGGTACTCTCCCTCATCCACTCTTTTCATTCCATTGCTTTAAGTCCAGATGGGTGAACACTGTGATTGTGCGGCATTGAGGTATCATTATCAGAACTGATGCTACTATGTGTAATGTTGTTGGTGAGGATGATGATGATGCATTCGTAACGCCTCCACCGAAACTCTCCGCCTAAGTAGACCAGTACAAAGTGTGACATTTATGTTCCACTTCCTTAGTACATGAGGAAGACGGAATAGGCCATTTTTAAAGCCCGAAGCTGGTGACCTGAAGTCCCGTGGTCCCAACTCGACGACGTCTTCGATTGCTTCTGTCCAGTCTTTGAAAAGCTGACAGCGTGTCAAAGCTCGTGCTTCCCTCCAGCTTCGTAGAATGCATGCGCCGAAAGGGTGCCACTACTGACCATCAATTTACCAACCACATCGGCCAATTTCCTCCCACTTCGTAACCTGACCTCTGCCTTTCGACTTCTTCTGTCTAGGCTTGGGCAACTTGGGAGTATCCCAGTCCTCGTGCTTCCTTCAGGTAGCATGGAAACTAGGCACCGGAAGGGGCTTGGACAGCAGTATCCCAGCCGTCGTGTTGCCTTCGGGTGGCACAGCACTTTTCGAGCGATCCAATGTGAGAATGAACACTCTGTATTGAATCATCATCCACTGACCCATAAAACGTGATTCCGTATTCATCAAGCTTTTTGGGGATGTGCGTACGCAACCATATGGGACTCACCATTGATATGTACTTTTCATCCATCGCGGGGAAATGTGGTCTGCAGCGTATCGTCAAACAGGTAACCTATACATGGGCAGAGATCGGACCAGACGACCCACAGTCTTCGTGTTTTTTTGGTTTCAGTGAATAACAACGCTTGATTAACGCCGCACGGCACGCTCCAGGCAATTGCAATATATTTATAAATTTTCGACATTATACTCTTCACTTGACTTGCATCAAGTGTCTACACTGTTCAACTTTTTGATCATGTATACCGAAATATGTGTATAGTGATATTCTCATCGGACGTAGTTTGTGCTGAGTGTCCCCGGATGTTTGGACGATTGCACAAAAGTCGGTTTAATCTGACGCCCGGAAGCAAATTTTCCTGTTATCGAGCGAATCGTGGACTGCTCTCATTTCATTTTAACTTTACCCTTCTTTCCTTTGGGGTCCCGCTTAAACTTTTCACTTTCTTTTCTAGCGCTCTATATTCGCTGCTCAGGAAACTTGTTTACCATGCCTCCAAAGCGAAATGTACGGAATAAAATTGACGACGAGGATGAGAGTGAGGTACGCAATGAAAAATTGAAGAAGGGAGGCGAAGATCTGCAGCCCAACAGCAAACGCCCCCAAAAGAAGCACTCCAAGCAGTTTGGAACAGCAGCTGCACAGAATGACTCAGCGAATGAACAAACTGCCACAGAAATGTCGAAGAAAAAGGGCAAAAACAAAAAACGTGATGAAAGTCCAGCTGAACCTGTGCAGCCTCTGACGGGCGTTGGTGATAATGCTGATGTTGGTGGAGGGAAGAAAACTGGTCCTCAGTCAAAGGAGGCGAATTCGGACGATGATGTGAACGTACAGCCAGATGAGATAGACGATGACTTTTACACGAAGAAGCGAAGGGCGGGACGTGGAAAACAGAAGGCCGTCGCCGAATCGGATACCGGAGCCACCACTCAACAAGCAGGCAAAAAGAAAAAGAAGGGCGGTGGCAAGAAGGCATCGGTTGACAATTTCGACAGTGACAAGGAGGACACAACCACGAAGGGGTTGTCCAACGCTCTGGAGACTTTGGCCATTACGAATGAGTTCGGTTCAGATGACGATGAACCCTATCAAAACAGTCGATTTGCAAAGTTTTCCGGTCTGACGTTAAACGGCGAAGCTGAGGAAGTGCCAGATGTTAGCGAACCTGACGCAGTGCAGGATGTTCCTCAGGATACTGCGTCAATCTCCGTTGAGGAGGGCGAGGAACAGAAGGAGCTACTTGTGGTACCTGAAGAACCAGAGGAAGTTGCACCGGCATACGCAAACAAAATTCCAGGTACTGTAACCACTCTCCCTGATTTGAGTGTTCACAATGCAACACCCCCGGAATCCGACGTGATTACTGAGAAGGAATCGTCCCCCCTTGTGCTTCCCACTGAAGAGACTCCTGTTACGCAAGTCAAGATATCGAAAAAAGACTTGAAGAAACTGAAAAAGCGCGAGGAATTCGATAAACTGGTAGAAGCTGCCAAGGAAAAGATTGTATCAAACTCAGGCACTTTAGATAACTTTGCCCTCTCGCAGGTGAGTATTGTTTTTGTACGCATTTCATGTGTAGCCTCATGGGGGACGAGGGTTTAAAGTTCACATTTGTTTTCACACACTGAATAACGCAGGGTACAGGGGGGGACATTCAGAACTAGAATTGATTGTGCAATTCGAAGCTTTCTTCCTCTTCTTTAGCCATGCCTTCCTAGACTCCTGTTTTCAGTCACTTAGAAAGAATTGTCATCAACTTGTGACCATTGAGGTTTGGTGAGACTCTAAGCCCAGTATCAAAAACCCGTCTGTACCCCCGGCCTAATCAATGACTGTCGTTGAGATTTCCTGGGGCATATTCGCAATCACTAATCCCAAGGACTGTAACAGTTCCATTCAGCGCAGTTTTTCATTCCTAACTAATGTACATGAGTACGGAGTTTCTGGTCGGAGACAAATCAGATAGAGCGAAATTCCTCAAAATAAATGCAGTATCATGGGTTTCGGTACTTAACCTTACGGGAAATTGTCTGCAAGCGAAGTTCAAATTGATATTTGGCTCTTTACCAACGTTACTAAGACTTAATACGTCACTGATGTGTCAGTTTACCCGTTTATGGCTTTCTTTCACCTCACTTACGATTGGTGAGTGGTCTTTGGATATGCATGACCGAATTAGCACAGTTTTCAAGCCTCATCTAACCGTCGATCGAGCGTCATCTGGACGCTACTTGCTAGGCACCATATGACGTAGTTCAGCCCTGAAAGTGCAGTGCTCCCAACGCGCATATGTACTACTGGGTAGACGAAATGGTCACCTTTCTGCCATGCAAGACGGCCAGGCTTCATGCACCGATCGCAGTGCAGCCGGTGCGGCCTCTACCGACAGACTTATATCACACCGGCTGTGAGTGATTGAATATAGGGCAGCCTAAACAAACGTTTTCGATTCTGGTGACCAACGGTCAGAAAAAGAGGATCACACCATCTTGGCGTAGCTGTTGTATACGCGATTGTGAACTTCCCGTTATCAGAGTTTTCAGCCTCACCATCCGTGTAGTGGGAGGTTATCCACATACAGTTGGCGATTCGTGTTAACAGCCTTGCGAAAAACGGGGTAAGATGAACCGCCGTCCAAACAATCGTGTACTTTTTGCGATTTTAGCAAAAGCCAAATGTGTTTGCAAATAGATGTAGTCCGATAATTTCGTGCAATTTTGGGTTCAAGTAAAGCATGAGGCTGACGGGAACTCGGAGACTGTGCCTATCTGATGAGCCCCATGAAGGACGAAACCGGTCGTAGGTTGTCGAAAAATTTTCAGCTCTGTAGTTCATCCACCATTCTCTATGACTATTACTAATCTTATCAGCCGAATTGTATGACACGCAACTCTATTTGATTCATTTTTTAGTCTGAGTACATGAACCGGATATTTTGGTTCTCTCACATGTTCACTCCCAGTATGTTGAATTTTACCTTATCCTCTTGCTGTTACCCAGTGACGACTATTCGATACCCCCACTTTTGGTGTGCTTTTTTCAGGCACCGACCAGTGCCAAAGTAAAGGCCGCCCAAGACAAACAGCTGGACATCAAAGTTGAGAATTTCTCCATCGCCGCCAAAGGCAAGGATCTGTTCGTGAACGCCTCTCTCCAGATCACTCATGGACGTCGCTACGGATTGGTCGGTCCAAACGGGTATGTGCACCTCATGGGGCCGTCGTTATTATCCGGTTCGTCGAGCATCGTTATCTGATGACTTTCTCAGCTGTGGTACATTTTTCTTGGATGGTTTTCATGTCACTGAACAGATTACCCGAGACTAGAGAGGCGACCCAGTCGATAGTTTGAGCATTAATCTTTGAAATATCCGAGTTGAATCGTTTGGTGATGCGAGTCAGATACAATTGTCCACTTGGCAGTAGACTGACAGACGTTCTCCACTGACGACTCTCAGCATGTATAGGCTAAGTGCACGCTGTGTGTTGGGTTAGGCTCGCAAAGGACGCTCGGTTAATCCCATTGATGGAGTTCTGCGTCAGCACAACCCGTCAATGTTTCAGTCTTTTTGGAACGAGCTCCAATGGCGAACTTACTGACCGCAAGGTTAAACCTAGCCTCTGCATCTCGACTGCTCCTCTCTAGGCTTTGGAAACCTGGTAGCCGTCATGCTTCCTTCAGGTGCTATCTATGATGATGAAGCAATGCTTTGAAATTCCTAAACGTCTCGTGAAATACCGCGAACTCTGGCACTGCCTTGCTCGTGTATGGATGGAGTTTTCTGGTGTTGCAGACTGATTGGTGTGATGCACAAGGCTTACTATCAACCTACCTACACAAACTACCTACACAACTAACAATATTCTCATGCCACATCGGCC